CCAACCACGGGATTGAGATGGAAGCAAACCCAAGGCATGTCGACTTGGTGCTGCAGCACCTGAAGTTGACTCACGCCAGTCCTGTGACCACCCCTCTCGTGAAGAGCACAGGTGATGAGGACGAAATGCCTCTAGACCGGGAGGAAGCATCACTCTACAGGTCAATAGCAATGAGGATCGGTTACCTCTCCAGTGACCGACCGGACATGCTACGGACAGTGAGGGAACTAGCCAAAGGCCTCAAGGAACCGACTCAGTACCAGTGGGGCCTGTTGAAAAGGGCCGGGCGGTATCTAAGAGGGATGCCTCGGCTGGTTCAGCTCATCCCTCACCAAGAGTTCTTTGCTTCTCTCCAAGGGTGGAGCGACACCGACCACGCTGGATGTGTCCGAACCAGGAAATCGACGACGGGAACAGTTGTACAGGCTGTTATAAAGGCCACTGCCAAAGGTCAGGCAGTGATCCCCCTCTCAAGTGGAGAGGCTGAATACTACGGCCTTGTCTCCACGGCCAGTGCCTGCAAGGGTGAACAAGCGATGTTGGCGGACTGGGGCATCCGATGCCCTGTCTTCATCAACATGGATGCCACCACTGGCACATCCATTGGAAGCCGGAGAGGCCTTGGAAAGGTCAAGCACATCCGCACGTGCTTCCTCTGGGTGCAGGAGATTACCGACTCCGGTCGAATCAAGTTGCGCAAAGTTCCAACAGGAAGCATGCTGGCGGACCTAATGACCAAACCATTGGACGCCAAGCTGATCTACAAATTCCTGGAAGGAATGGAGTTTTCAGCAAAGCCTGGACGACACCCTCTCGCGCTGAAGACCTGACTAACATGCCACACTACTCGCAGAAAGCAAAAGGAATGCTTCCGACTGGAAGTGAGGGGCATAGGGTAGGCTAGCTTGTGTACAGTGCATTATAATTCATTTCGCAATCGACGTTTTGGCTCAAGGCCAATAGCAGAGGCATAAAAAGTGCATTCACTCCTGCACACACATACATTCCTACATCCATCCATCCATACATGCATACATACATACATACATGCATGCATGCATGCATACATACACACATACGTTACATACACACATACATACAACACATTACATTACACTACATTATACATTACATTACGTTACGTTTCGTTACGCTACGTCACGTTACGTTACATTACGTTACATTACGCTACATTATGTTACATTATACATTACAGTACATTGCATTATACATTACGTTACTTACAGCAGTACATACATACATACATACATACATATATACATACATACATACATACATGAATAACACTTACGATGCCTACATTACATTACATTACATTGCATTGCATTACATTACGTTGCACTACATTACACTAATGCATTAATGCATTCATGCATTACTACATTAATGCATTAATACATGAATACATACATACATAGATACATAGATACATACATACATACATACATACATTAATACATGCAGACATACCGGCATACATTAGATTAGATTACATTCCATTACATTACGTTACATTGCATTGCATTACATTGCATTACATTGCATTACAGTACATTGCATTACATTACATTACATTACACACATACACACACACACATGCATTTTGTACACGTGTATGAACATGTATACGTATCCGCGCAGCAGTTGACGAGATCCTTTCGCAGCCAAGGGGCAGCGTGTGAAGCCGGTCGAGGCTCAACTGCCTCCATGCACATGATATACAACCACAGTATGCAAATACTGCCGGAGATGTCGGAGTGATGCGTCTTTTTGCAGGTCATCTTCAACAGGACATCCTCGCATCAACGCCTGCACGGCATGCCAGACCCGGCCACAATGGCTCGTTTCGACGCCTCACGGCGTGCGAGATCCGACACAAAAATCTTCCTCGTGTCGTGCTGGTCGATGAGGCCTAATTTCTTTGCAGAGTCGGGGTTAGTCCCACGCAATGCACCAACATGATTGTCTGCCCACCCTTATCGTTCAGAATCATGCCCAACGGCAAGCTCATCCGGGAAGGCCGGACATTAAATCGCATGTTTGTACATCAAACTTTTCATTATCAGGCCGGGATATTGGGGGCGGCATCACTCGCTGCACGGGAAGATCCCCCGACCACGGCTTGAACAAATCCTTTAGCAACGTTAGCATTGAACGTGCCTGCCCGTGCAGAAACAGCGGATTCAACTCTCTGCAGAGTATCAAGTTCAAGCAAACGGTAAAAGATGGTGACGGGTAACGGTCTCCACACTCTGCGGGGCAGGTCACAAGGCGATCAGTCGGTCAGCGACAAGCTGCTGTAGCCTAGTCCTTCCCGGCCGCAGCTTTCGTGACAGAATCCGGGAATGCTGCAGCCGTACAAAAAAAAGGTTGGACAAAGCGGCTCTCACATTGTCAGCAGTTGTTCTGACCGATGTTCTGCCAAGGACCGTGGCTAGGACAGCCGTTGATTAAGGTACATTAAAACAGAGAAAGCCGAATCTGACCTTCCTGGCAGGAGACTCTGCTCAAGCCCACTCCGTGCGGGTCTCCTCTGCGTGAAGCTCCATCTTTGCTTCGGCAACCTCAGCATCGTCCTGATTGTTTTCGTGGCAGACGCCTTTCTCGGCGACGTTTTCTACTTTGGCATCCAGTTGCTTTGTCTTACTTCCTGCAGGCAGGGAAGCAAACGATCCCGCAGAGGTAATCCGGCGCCTGGCCAATGCATCTGTGAGCTTGCTGCGGAAGCCTAGCTCCGTGTTGAGGAGGACAATCGATGCGTTCACGTCACAGTAGTCGTAGACACAGAGCGCCTCCACCACTTTTCGCACCTCATTCTCCTGCATGTGTTGCTGGCTGTGAAGGAAGTTCGTCAAGGTGTCGCAGAAGTCCTTCGAGGATGGTGGCTTGCCGAGGTTCATGATCCACAGCTCATCATTGCTGCCCAAAGCCTTCTTATAGAAGAGGGCGGCCACGGCAAGCACGAGCATGAGGCCCAGCACACTCATCATCATCGCAGAGATGGCAGCGGCCAAGCTGTCGAGGACTGCAGGCCCGTCCTCCGGGTCTGGGCCGAG